ACGTTACGTAGTAGTAGTACGTTACGTAGTAGTAGTAGTAGTAGTACGTAGTACGTAGTAGTAGTAGTAGTAGTAGAGAGTAGAGAGAGAGAGAGAGAGAGAGAGAGAGAGAGAGAGAGAGAGAGAGAGAGAGAGAGAGAGAGGGTTCTCATCCTTGTGTTCTGCAAGTACCTTGAGTTAGAAAGCCATCTACTTGATGTAGTGGCAAGAGTTACAATCTAAAGTTTCCTTTCTCTTCATTCCCTCCATCGAGATCAAAGAAGCCGGGTCATTGTTGGACAATCAGCCTTGGACCTACACCTTCCGATACCGGTTTTGCATTATTTGGTGTCAGAGCAAGTTCGTGGGTATGACTATTCGTGGTAGAGGTTGTGGCCAAAGAAATGTAGGTCGAGAACTGAATAGCAGAATATGTGCCACTGTTAGAAAACCTGGCGATCTAATCGCCGACAGCCCGGTTAGATCGGAACTGGCCAGTGGCCGGTTCAAGTTTTGGGCGGTTTTGGTGATCGACCGGTATTTAAAAAAAGGTTTTGTTAGGCTACCCCACTTGATGGTGTAGACCCTTAAAGTGCTCAACATTTTTTGACACTAAAATACCCTTGAAATGTAAAAGAAAATTTTTCAAGAAGGGGCATTTTTGGTTATTTAGAAAGGTAGAATGGATACTTTCATAAGAAAATAGTGGTATTCTATTAGTAGTTCAAAATAATAATGCATCTTGTGGGTGATGTCACACACCATATCAATGATGTCATTGGCCACTATTGTTAATAAATGCTTTTGTTTCTATTAGGAATTTCTAGTTTACCCTTGACTAATTACTTAAAATACCCCTAAACAAAAAGTTACTATATTATAGGATAAGGATATCTAAATGTCTAAAAATATTGAGCACTTTAAGGGTCTACACCACAAGTGGTGTAGCCTAACAAAACCCTTTAAAAAAAATCATAAAAATGTATCTAAATTCTCAAAAAATAAGGAATTTGGTTTGTAATGCATTTTTTAATATTATTTACATTATGGTAAAGATTAAAAATTGTTTTGGTCATTAATACTCACTTTAATTAAAAAATCGATTCGTCAAAATTCATTTTTTTCCATTAATTTTCAACTTCATTTGAATTTGTTTTGTTTTAATCATTCTTTATATGCTTTTCATATTTTAGTAGATTTTTTTTTGTATATTTCTTATTTTTTTAAACACTTTTTTGACCGCCCAATACTTGCCCGGTTAGAATGGTTGAATCGGCCGGTTTAGCAGTTAGGCCAGTTAAACCTCTTCCAAACCCATGTCCGGTTAATCGTTTCAATTTGATTTTGTGAACATTGATATGTGCACAACCTCATAGAGTCGGTAACTGTGCTTTTGCAAGATAGAAATCAGCGAAATGTGAGGAGATCCCTAGTCATAGATCCCATACGTTGTGGCTTGTTTAGTGAACACCGTGAGTCAGAGATGGTGACGACTTCACCTAGCTCATAATCGGGGACTGATTCTAGCAAAAGTATTGGTTCACAAAGGTCTCGGCAAAGGCGAGTTGGATGGTGACTCAAGTGTACTAACTGGGAGTAGGCGAGCATGACACCGTGATGATGACTCCGGTATTAAAGTTGATTTACCTCAATTTTCTGGTAGTTTATCATCAGAAGAGTTCTTAGATTGGTTGAGCGCAGTAGAAAGATTCTTCGAATGTTAGTATTTGTCAGACTCAAGGAAAGTAAAATTGGTGGGATCAAGTTTAGGAAGCAAGATTGCGAACAGGGAAAGACAAGATACAAACTTGGAAAAAAAAAAAAGGGCAAAGTTGTGTCAGCAATTTCTTCCTCCAAACTTTGCAAATACTGTGTTCAAACAATTCCATCAACTGCACCAAGGATCGAAGTCGGTCCGTGAGTATACAGAAGACTTCCATCGCTTGTCCTTGCGCACAGGGTTGGATGAGACGGAGGACTAACAAGTGGCAAGGCATATATCGAGTTTGCAGCTTCAAATCCAAGATGAACTCTCCTTACAACACCTGCCCCGAGTAAAAATGGCATATCAGGCTGCATTGCAAGCCAAGGAAAGACAAAGAAGGGGTGCTAGTTGGAGGCTAGGTGTAGGCACATATCAACCCAAGGGGGTGACGGCTCCAATCCGGGGAGTTGCTGACCCAAGTAAGAAAAGGACTTTGGGAGATCGATAGGAGGCTGTGCCTACGCACAACACTCGCTTGCGAGCTCAAACAAATGAACAATCTGATGTATGGTGTTTCTGATGTAATGTAAGGGTCACTGGGCAACAAAGTGCCCATCAGCTGCTGCCCAATGGCATGCTAATCTAGTCAAAGCAAAGGAAAGTGGTGAAAAGGAGGTGGCAGTTGAGTTTGGAGAGCCGGTGGATGAAGAGGAGTTTGGTCAAGATGAACAAGGTGAGGAGGTGCCTGCGAACCAAGTAGAGATATTGTTGGTCCGAAGGGTTATTTCTCTTCCTAAAGCCCCACAAAATGATAGCTGGCTGAGATCAACGGTGCACTTGTGATGGGCAAGTATGCCACTTAATCATCAATAACAACAGTCGTAAGAACTGCCAAAGGAGGCTGTTGGTAAGTTGCGATTAAAGGACGTAAAGAACTCACAACCTTACAAGATTGCTTGGTTCTAAAGAGGAGTTGAGGTACCCATTAATTCCAGTTTTGTTAAATTTTCTATTGGAAATTTTTATAAAGATGAGGTGTGGTGTGATGTTGGACCAATGAATGCCTGCCATATATTGCTTGGTCGCCCATGGCAATACAATCGCAAAACATTTCACAATAGTGCGCATAACATTATACTTTTTAGAAATATGGGCGAAAGATTGTTTTATTGCCGTTGCGGGATGAAGTTTCATCTAAGTCCGTCAAAGAAGAGGGTGTGACTTTGCTCTCGTATCAACAATTTGTTGAAGCTAGTGAAGAAGTTGGCAAAGTTTTCGTGATAGTTAAAAAAGACTTAGGGCAGTGTTCTATGGTGCCCAAAGCCCTTAAGCCTCTAATATATGAATTCGTTGACCTTATGCCATAAGAATTACCAGCTGGGTTGCTGCCAATAAGGAGTATACAACATTGTATTGACCTCATTCTGGGATCTAGTTTGACAAATTTACCGACATATCGAAGAAGTCCTAAGGAATATGGGAGTTGCAGCACCAACTTATCGAGTTATTGTGTAAGGGTTTGATTCGACCAAGTATGAGCCCATGTACAGTCCCAACACTGCTCACACCTAAGAAAGACAGGAAAAGGCGCATGTGTGTTGATAGCCGAGCCATAAACAAGATTACCATTAAGTACCAGTTTCCAATTCCAAGACATGACAACATGTAGACATGTTGGCTGGCTCTTAGGTGTCTTGAACATAGATTTGAGGAGTGGGCGAGAAGGGGATGAGTGGAAGACAGCCTTTAAGCCCAAGAGTGGCTTGTATGAGTGGCTTGTCATGCCATTTGGACTATCCAACGCACCATGCACTATCATGCACTTGATGACTCAAGTCTTGCGAGATTTCCTTGGCAAGTTTGAGCATATCTTGATGTATAGCACTGACCCAGAGGCAGACTTTAATCATTTGCACCAAGTACTTACTCTTTTGATGGCTGAGAAATTGTATGTTAACCTTAAGAAATGCAGTTTCATGACAAACAGTTTGGTATTCGTGGGTTTTGTAGTTTCTTCGAATGGTGTTAAGGTGGACCCCGAGAAGGTTATTAAGGCAATATTTGATTGGCCAATACCTGAAACCGTGACTGAAATGTGAAGTTTCCATGGACTTGCCACATTCTATAGGCGGTTCATCCGAAATTTCATCACCATCATGGCGCCAATCACCAAGTATTTAAAGGGTGAAGGTTGTTGGCAGACTCCCACAGCTACCAAGGCTTTTAAGGAGATTAAGGAGAGGATGACACATGCACTAGTCTTTACTTTTCCTGACTTCAAAAAGGCATTGGAGGTTGAGTGTGATGCCTCTCATGTGGGAATTAGAGCTGTGTTGAGTCAAGAGAAGAGACCCATTGCATTTTTCAATGAGAAACTCAGTGACGCGAAGCGATGATATTCGACTTATGACATTGAGTTTTTATGTTGTGCTTCAAGCTCTTTGCCATTGGAGATATTCTTTCATTCACCGGGAGTTTGTTCTCTACACTGACCATGCTGCACTCAAGCTCATTAATAGCCAAAAGAAGTTGAGTGCAAGACATGCTAAGCGGGTGGCATATTTGCAAGAGTACACATTCACTATAAGGCACCAATCGGGAGAGCGAAACACAGTGGCTAATGCTCTTAGTCAGTGAATTCATTTGGTGAGGACATTGGCAGTTGAAGTGGTCGGTTTAGAAGCGGTGCGAGAAGCCTATCAAGACAACCCATACTTCAAGGACATAATGGAAAGGTTCCAAACAAGCAATGGTAGCTCTTATCACCAATTTCTTTTGACTGACAGCTATTTGTTCTATGGCGCCCATTTATGTTCCCTAATGCTTCTTTGAGGGAGCATCTAATTGATAATTTGTATTCTGGTGGTCTTTGTGGACAATTTAAAAGGGATAAGACATTTTCCTTAACGGAAGAGAGGTATTTTTGGCTCTCTATGAGATGAGATTTGTGTAGGCATGTTGATTAGTGCATAAAATGCCAAGAGGCAAAGGCAGTGTTTGCAAAATTGAACTGCAACAGTTAACCGGATGTGAGGCCTGGAGCGGTTAGAACTGGACTGACCGTGCAGTTAACCAAACTAACCGGTCTGGTATAATTTTTTTAAAAAAAATAGGCCAAAAATCCAAAAAAACAAAACATAAATTTAGTGTATATTATTTTATTAACTACATTTATCTTAAGGAAAAATGTTTTGTAGAACCAAGGTGGATCAATAACCACTTTTCTCGAGCCTGCTATCAAATCCAAAACTTAAAATTTGAGAGGGTTTCAGATCTTTTTGCTCAAAAATATAATGATCAGTTAAGAAAGCAATAGGACAATGAATATTTATTTTACAGCAACGCAAACTAAGGTAGCATCCTTTGAGGCCATAATCAGAATAGGATGCTGATATTGTTCTACATTTCCATAAAAGAATGGTAGAACAAATAATTTTATCAAAAACAAAATTTATTAAGCAAAATAGAAAAACACTTACCATATTTATCAAAAAACATAATTTTATTAAAAAATAATTTTATCAAAAAAATAATTTTATTAAAAAATGGAAAAACCCATACAAACAACATGAGATTACACAAAACCATCAACCAAATATGCTGACCAAAATGATTAAAGCTAATACACTTATACCTCCAAGAATAGCTCGCAATGAAGCAAAAAAATACTCTCCAAGAATAAATCTCTGAGAACAACCAAATTAATAACATATCACATATACAAACAATGCATTTTGAGTGTGTTATTTCAAATTTAAAAAATACTTTTGTGCATAATTATTTTTTTAGCAAAATAAAGTGGTAAACAAATACTCGACCAACCCAAAGTTCATATTAAAAAAATACTAAATGAGAAGTCACATGAAATTCATACATGTGATCTCAACTGTAAAAATCGGTCACCAAATCAAGTACAAAATCGAGCGGTTGTTGGATGTTTTTCAGCTCAGTTCAAAAAAACTGAGTCAATGCCCTAATCTTTCAAAATCGAGCACCATATCTCGGTTTTTCAATGAAATTAGAACTTGAATATTTTGATTAACTCCATTATTTACAAAAACCCTAGATTTTGATTTATAAAAAACCAAAAATGAATCAGCAATCTGAAGTATGGCAGATTTTTTCAACTCTATTAAAAAAAACTGATTCGCTGCCCTAATCACTCCAAATCGAGCCCCAAATCTCGGATTTTCAATGAAATTAGGAGCAGAATCTACTTACTAACTCTATTATCTACAAAAGCCATGGATTTTGATTGATAAAAATCCAAAAACTAAACCACAATCTGCAGTATGGCGGATTTTTTGAAATCAGTTTTGAAAAACTGAGTAGATGCCCTAATCACTCCAAATCGAGGTCGAAATCTCTGATTTTAAATGAAATTGATAATGGAATATAATTGTTAACTCTATTATCAACAAAAGCCATATGTTTTTATTGATAAAAATCAAAAAATGAGGCCACAATATGCACCATGGCAGATTTTTTTGAAAACCCAAAGAACACAAAAATAACGGCCCAAAAACATCAAATTTCAGTGTGTTCCGGTTGAAATCCTTCATTTTATACTATTATATCAATAATTTCAGTCAGTAATTGACTGAAAAATCTGAAAAAATGCTAAAAAAGTTAAAAAAAGTCGAAAAACAAAGAATCCAATAAAACTCAAGGTTTTTGTGTAACGTAACAGTCACTGACATAACTAACGGTGTACCATTAAATAACGGGCGTTATTCAACCTTTTAACGCTATTTGGGCATTTTTTGAAGCGGTTAGGTAAAAAAACCGCCCAGTTAGCTTGAAAAACAACTGGTTCGTGTAGATTAGAGCTGATTTGGGCCGGAAATTTTTTGGGGTGTTTCATATAATTAGGATGCCACAACTGGGGATAACAGGAACTGGTAAGGTACCGATTCCGCTCTAACCGGCCGTTTTTTCCAACACTGGGCAAAGGACATTCACAAAATACTGGTTTGTAAACTCTATTGCCGGTTCCGACCAGTTCATGGTTTGATCTATCCATGGATTTCATAGTAGGTATGCCAAGGACAGCAAGAGGGCATGATTCAATTATGGTCGTGGTGGATAGGTTTTCAAAGGTAGCTCATTTGTACCATGTTGGCAAACCACTAATGCCACTATGATAGCCGATCTCTTCTTCAAAGAGATTGTGCGCTTGCATGGTCTTCCAAAGACCATCGCATCCGATCGAGACACAAGGTTCCTTAGCCACTTTTGGATAACTTTGTGGCGGAAAACGGGAACCAACTTGCAATTTAGTAGTGCATATCACCCACAAACTGAGGTGGTTAATACGAGTGTGGGTAACATGTTAAGAAGCTTGGTTGGAGAGAATTTGAGAGTATGGGACTTAGTGCTACCATATGTTGAGTTTGCATACAATAATTCTCCAAATAACTCAACCACGAGAACCCATTTAATGTGGTCTATGGCATATCACCTTTGCATTTTCAGTGCGTGGGCATATTGATCTAGATGCTTCAAACATGGCTAGCTGCATGAAGGAGTTACATGAAAAGGTTTAAAAGAAGTTGGAGGAAAGTTACAATAAAGTATCAAGATGTCATGCATCGACACCGACAGCTACAGTTGTTCAAAATTGGAGACCTTGTTATGGTGTATCTCAGGCCCGAGTGATTTCCTGTCCGTACCTATGGCAAGCTCAAAGCAAAGAAGATTGGCCCTTGTAAATCAAAAATAAAATCAATGACATTGCCTATGAAGTAGATCTGCCAAGAGAGTGGAATATTTCCCAATCTTCAACGTGCAAGACCTATTCGAGCTTCATAATGACGGTAACTCCATAAAGTCGAGTCTTCTCCAACTCGGGGAGGATGATGCAAAGTGCATTTAGGAGTTTTTGGTTGCTAGGATGAATTTATCACTCTCTCTGTATTTTTAGTCCCATATGAGTTTGTCATTATCTTTTTGTTAGTTTGGTCATTTTGGGATTTGTCAAGGTCTAGGGAATTCGGTGTAGGGACAAGTACTTTATTGTGTGAAAGTTTTCATGAATCCAAAGGTCAAAATATGTAGTTATAATGCTCAGAAGTTTGGTTTCGCGTGCGGGAACTTAGGTGCATGAAAGTTGCATCCAAGAATGGGAAATAGAGCACAGGGGTAATCTAGTCATTTTCACACTTTGTTATGAGTATTTTGGTTATTTACTAGTTCCAACAAACTCGTTTATATATATGGAATATTGTTGTAACGGTTGGTTAGTTTTTTGATAATTTGATAATGAAATTGAAAACTTCCTTCTTCTCCCTCGTGTACTGCGAGTACCTTCAGTTGGAAGGCCATCTACTTGGTGTAGTGGTAAGAGTTAGGGTTTGAAAATCCCTTTCTATTCATTTCCTTCATCGAAATTAAGGAAGCCGGGTCGTTGTTGCACAATCGGTCTCGGATCTACACTTTTTGATGCTGGTTTTGCACCAATTGCCTATTAATAACTCATCAGTCCATGACCAGTTACTTGAGTCCCAAATCCAAGTTTTAAACAAAAGCAGTTGTGCAGAACTATGTTAACCTCAAGATTAGATAACCCAAAGATGTGAAATGCTTATGGCATCCGTATCACTGTGGTTTTGTACTCCATCATAGTGAATTCTAAACTCATTTCTATAATAGGTCTCAAAAAATCAATAAAAATACTGAAATATATTTATTCTAAGAATACATCTCAGGTCATATACATAAAAGATCTCACTAAGATATGAACTAGGTTCAATGAAACATATCCAAACCTAGGCTAGATTAGATACATACCCGTGCATTAGCATTCAAGTATACAAAACAGAAAAGCATCAATGCCCTGCGCCTAGCTTGACTTTGATTGATCCCATCAATTAGCTTCTCTGTAAATGGTGCTGTAATTAAGACAAAGTTAACAGGTTCCTTAATACACCTGAGTAAAGGGCTCCTGACATTCACATAGATCCATGCTTACTGATAAACAAAAAGTTAATATCTAACAGAGAGCATAAATATAAAAGGTTCATCACAAAGTTGATATTCAAACTATTTTGTGAATAAGTTGCTCAAATATACTTGTAAAAATGCCTTACATAAAGGATCTGTTTTAGAAGCTCGAACGTCAACTAGATCCACTTCATGGCTTACTCCATGGCCATCCATATATGTACATGACCTGCATAATTGGTATTGCATGTCAGTGGCTACATAAAGTTGACCATATCAATAGCATCTATAATAGTTATAACATCTTCAATTATCATAATGTATATATATCATTATATATACATATATATATATATATATATATATATATATATATATGAGGATTCAATTCTGGAGACTGCATGAGAAAGAAAAATTATTCCGGCAGGATAATATTTAGTATGTACGGATTCTTTCTTGAGTTTAGTAAATCCAATTATAAAAGACATTTTTGGTAAACCTACAATATTTCAAGGCCACCAGCATCCAGCACCATTTAAAAGAAAGTGCAGGAGGACACCTTTAGGGTGCATTTTATAACTTCTTCTGCAGTTTCTCTGGGATTCTCTATGTTGGACTTTCTTGGAATCGAGGAGGAAAGTGAAAATTGGTAGCCTGAAAACTGGGAACCTTGTTTCATAAATTGTGTTATTATTTTCGCCTGTTTGGTGGTGGGAAAGCAACAAATTTCCTGTTTTAACCATTCATTATGTATCCCATTGATTTGATGCGTAAAATATATATTTTCAATAAGATTTTCCTGCTATAACCCATCTAATATATTCCGTACAATGTATGGTTGATATTGAAATTTGATCTAATATTTCTGAAATTTTTATCACTTGTTGCCCCAATCTTGCACTAATCCCATATGCCATTGCCCGATCTTTTTATCACTGTTGCACCAAAGCCACAGGCCTACACATGATAATGTTCTCTCTCTCTCTCCAAATGATCATGCTCTCTCTCCAAATGATCATGCTCTCTCTCCCTCTCTAGGGATAATATTGGGTTAAGATTTGAGAACTTAGGGTACTCTCTGTCTCCCCCTCCCCCCCCCAAAAAACAAATTGAAGAATTTATCATTAAATATTGTTGAAATGTCAAACCACCCAATAAGTGTTGGAGGAAGTCAAATGAATGATTTATCAATAAAGTGGTCGTCAAATCACCCAACAAAAGGGTTAGGGCTTCGTTGATGGTTTGTAATTTTCTCTGAAAGTGGCAGCGCAGGGGTGCCTATGGTCTGGCACTTTCCTCAAGGGAATAGTGAAATGGGGAAAAAATAAGTTCCGACATCCCCCAATTTTGTTGTTATCAAACAGGTGAAAACTACAGTACAAGAGAAAGTGTGAGACTTTCCCCTGTTTTCTCTGTTATCAAACACCCCCTTGTGGATAATTTTAAGGAGTGTACAGACTTCAGCAATACATTACATACATTTATCACGATCCCAATATACTTAGAAGAACAATTCAAACTGATTTCTATAAGATTACTAACATTGACAGATACATCTGACAAAGACAAGAAAAATAAAATGTCCAACAAGGACATGCCTCCAGTTTGATATAATTGGTTAAATTTAGCAGAATGACAAATGAAGTCGAGCTGAGAAAAGATGATTTACCTTATGTCAAACTTACAAAGTGTATAGTCTTTTATTCTATCCAATATCTCCTGGAGATTGTCACCTCTAGTTTTGCAGTTGGGACAAGAAGAACTTAGAACACCAGACACCGGGTAACCAGCATGACTAATTGCTTCTCTTTCCAAGCTTATGGTTTCTTTGAAGCTTTCGACAGCCAAATGAACCTAGATAGAAACCAAAGCATCAAAAACAAATGTAAGAAGTACAACACAAAGCAATTGGGACAAACAACTTCGCATCCTAACAATAGTGGGAACTGCAAACATCGAGATTTACTACTTGGTAGAAAGATGAATATAAGCACCAAGAATCCAATTACACGAAACACAGAAATATCCACCATTGAACAAAAGAGAAGAGATACTACAATTTATTGCCAGAAATATCTAAATAAACTCATTTCTCTTAGTCATACTCCATATCAGAAATGTCTACCTATCTATTTATTTATGGGAAATTTTTCAAAATGGACCTAAGAAATAAACTGTTTAACATTTTAACCATATCTTTTGATTTAGTTTCATAAATCCCATCAAAATACACATGATCATGAGTTGAAATCGAGTAAAATGTTAAATAGTTGATAACTTCGGTGTATCTTGATAAATTTCCATTTATCCATTGATAAGTAACAGCTCTGTTCCCATAATGAAGCAGTATATATTAGGTTACATTAACTGCAGGCACACATGGAAGTATGCAAGAACTGGAGTGAGGGTGAGAGAGATGGACATAATACGTGTACATGAGAGGGAGAGAGAGCAGTCAAACATCTATAAAAATTGACATATAATATGTAAAAGAAGCAAAAGTCCCTATGAATAGAGAATCTCCAACGACACCTTCATGCGCCAAGAGACACCTTCCGATGTGTGCTCCAAGAGTCCAACTCCAAAACCACATTCCCTTGTGGTACCACCAATTCCTGCTGGACCATGGCCAAAGCTCAGCCTGTGGTTGGGACCATAGTTGCAGGGACCTGTTAACCTAGATGACAATCCCAGTCCAGAATCTCGCTCCAGCACTCCAGGAAAAAGATCTTTAGGATTGCAATTTTTAAATTTTGGTATCTCCATCCCAATGTTCGGGATCTCAATCCCCAACTTAAAAACCTAGTTAACAACCAAACTGATAATTTTCTTTATTTGTCATCAGCTAGCCATGCAACTATACTTTTAATATAGTTGGCTTGCTTGCTTGACTCCAAATAGAGAAATCTCTCTATAACAAGTATATAAAATGTTTAATCCAGAGAAGGTTGTTTAATCCCCAGAGAAAGTTGTTTAATCCCCAGAGAAGGGTGGTTAGGTATCCAGAATAACCCATAATGTCCCAAACAAGTAACAATAAGTCTCATCCTCGCAGCCAAAGGATATGGAGCAAAGGTCAACTTTGTCTAATGTATCCTATACATAAGTCAAAAATTAAAGAACTGATCTGCAATGTTCACCACTAAAGACTTCGTTTAAATATGCATGTTAAGGCACAAGAGATCCCCAAATATTATGAGATGGGAACCAGGCGTCCCAACTTAAGTGAGGACCCTAATAAAGGATTTAACTGAATATTGACCCATTCAACCACCAACACCATACTATCTATCTACCTAAACATAGGCATGTGGATGGAATCAAACTTATCAAAATAACAGAGCAAATTACCCAAAGAAGGAAAAAGGAAAAGGAAAAAAAAAGCAGAGAACAAAAAACAAACCTGAAGCGTATCTAGCAGCACAATAAACTCTAGCATCTCAACCTCATCCAATGCTGGTCTCAACCTGGCCTCTGTATCACCATCTCTCCTATGGAGTCCAAAACATTCCTTACCAATATATTTGATTCCAAAGCAACATAAAATAACTGTGTATAGTCTTGCAGGGTGTAATCACCACACCAAACGTCAAACCAAAGGTAGGTGTGACTCCCATCCACAACCCTAAAACCTAGAGCCCCCTCCTAACTCTAACCCACAAGATGCAATCCTGCCCACACTTCAGGACCTACCCCCACTGGCTCCCTAAACCACACTTTCATTGGCTCACCTCCTTCCAAAGACTCCGTATTTCCACAACCCCATTGTCAATGCCACTTAGGAGGGAAGTGTTACCACTTGGCATTCTCCTCGAACCCAATACACCCAATTCTTCAGGATTTTTGTGCAAATTACATCGTATCACTTTCCACCCAACTGTTCCAACAATGGATCCCCTAAAGGACCAATCAACTGCTCTTAATGTTCTAAAAATTCAGACTTGAGTCAAGTCCCAACTTGTCGAGTCTTAAAGAACTTCTGAAATGAAGGGGACTGAACAGGAAAAAGAGGGATCAACCGAAGAAGGCCCTTCCCTTTTTTGTTCAGAAGAAAAGGGGGATCCTGACAAAATAGATGAAATAAAACTTGGGCATCTTTCAGAAATTCACTGTTTTTTCTAAGAATCACTTAAGACTCAGATAAGCCTCAGCCTGCAGTCAGGAATCAGCCGAGTCATACATAACACTTACACAAGATTTTTAGAAAATGATTTTCCTAAAGAAAAGCCTGGGGACACAAGCTTATTGGATTCAGGTAAATCCCAAGTCTGATTAGTGAGTTTTCAAACATTGATGCCATACAAATAGAGGTCATTGCGCGTAACCGGTATACTAGTAGTTTAACCAGTCGCACAAGGGATATAAAATAGAGCAATGCTTCTGCGATTAATGCAACCAATTATTCAACCAATTTCTCTTCTTCTGTAATTTATGCCATATAATAATGCAGGGCAACTAAAAGAGAAATACAGAGTGTGTATCTAAGAGATTTGCAAATAGCTCAGAATTTGAACATCATATGCAACACTCCTAGCTATGATGAACACCTTAGCTGACATCTATCATGCTATTCTTTGTTAGAAGATATAGCTCTTCCATTACAGTAAGACAGAACACTATAAAACTGCAGCGCATGAATTGGGTGTATGTTTTATCAATAAATAAACATGATATATATGAGCATCAGATCATCTTTTGGACTAGGTGGAAGCATACCTTGTCTTCTTTCAGAGGCATGACATCCCCAGTCAAAGCAACCCGTGATGGTAACTGTAATAAATTACGATTAGTCATTGCAAAATATGCTAAAATGACTAGCAAATCTCTCTAGGAAAAACAATAATGCTCCCATTATCCATGAAGTATTTTCCATTCACATGAAAATCTCCTACTTTTTTTTTGCAGTCATGTCGTTGCAAAACCCATGCATAATATTGAATTTTGACAAAAATTAAAAGCATGGCTATTTTATGGGCTATTGCTCCGCTACATGAAATTACATGCATCTCACAAGTGAAATCTAAATGGTGAAATAGGAGAGAGAAAAGAAAAGAAAAAAAAAAGACAGGACAGGAGAGGATCCAATTCAGTAAGATGTAACAAATAGTCAGCCACAAATCTAAGTTATTTCTATTCGGAAAAGACAAAGAGATCTGAAAAATCAAGTACATGAAACAATTGTGGACTTCACAATCACAACAAAGTTGAATCCCATGTTACTTTCTACTGCAAACACATATGGTTCTTCCATTGCTTATATGCATATTTCAGTCAATGACCAAATTTTTTTGCAAGTATTTATGTTAACTAAGTGTCTCTTAGTTAACCTCTTAATCATAACAGTTCGGTCATCTCAAATTAATGCTTAAAATGCACAAGGTCAGGTGCTTGGCACATAGTTTCAGGAAAGACCAATAAATTGGAGACAATACTGCCATGATAACTATACCACAATAAACTCCTGTAATGTTCAAATATGTTGATTTTGAAACCAAGGCTATATAACTTGAGCTATGACCTCACCAACATATGGTTCCCAGTAAATGAATCACAAGCAGAAACCCAAAAATAATTAATCAAGATTTTGCAATGGCCACTTACCTTGGATATTTTGGAGAAATTCACAGTATTTAGGCAGGAAAATATTCCATTCACATTTGTTACAATGAACATTTCTATTTCACAAAAACAAAGTAAGAGAGAGAGAGAGAGAGAGAGAGAAAGAGAGAAAGAGAGAGAGATTCGCAAATGGTGCCCTGTGGTAACACATAAGGCTTGCAGTCCAAGTCTTACAAATTTAGAGACATGTCAACAATATTTTCAAAACAAAAAACTAGCTTAGTTCAGTTGGTGCTATTCAAGTGGTAAGGACAAGATAGGAAATTGCCTTCTTTTTTTTAATATGGACAAGATAGGACATTTCTTGTTACAGTAATTCATTCAATACAGTAGTTTTCCTACAAACGTCCCATAAGGAGCAGACAACAGTTGAGGTGACCTTGACATTAATACATATATCAATATATTAAGATGTACCAATCTCGGAAAATCTTTTTATGGAAGAGAGTTTCTGTTCCAGGAGAGAAGTTTATCAAGCTAAATCATTTAGACTAACTAACCAGATAATATTATCTCCATCTACTATTCCATCCATATGACATAATATCATGTGAATCTAAACATGACCAGAATAATAATATTAGCTACTATTACAACAGCATCCATATGACATACATATCATGTGAGACATGACATACACTGAAAATCATGCGTACTTATACCATCAACAACATTACCCTTGCTCAAGTAGAATTCAGAGTACCTTTTTCACAGATCTAAGTAAGCTCATGAGTGAACCAGGAAGAGTACTAATCACTGAGAAAGAACCACGCTCATCCATTATTGTATTCTGAGAAAAGTAAATGAAAGAATTGTCACTAGCCCAAATGAAAGATCAATCAAAAGCACCCACCCTGGCCAATTAAAAATACAAAGATGACTATGAAAATGGAATGCCATGGACAATTTTTAGCTTCCTCAACCTGCACCCAGATAATGGAATTGCTAGATCCAAATTCCATTCCAATGAAGTGTAATAACTATCACAAACCAAAATGACAAAAGACCACAGCATAAAGTGAATAGCTACCTAATTACCACATCAATGCAAAGCAAAACAGTATCAGCAGTACCATCCACATAACTCACATGGATCTCCTCGATAAGCAAGATACGAACTTCTTTTTGTTCAATAGGTATATGTACAATATCAGGAAGTAGCAAATAAACCAGCAGGGAACTCAATGAGTGTAACATTGAAATTTGGATGCCACTAATTGTTAGGGAAAAGAACTACATGAGTAATGCATGCTTGTGTACAGAGGGGTTCTAATGGCAGATCAACCATTCTGAGAAATATCGTTGAACCAAATGATGTCATATTATGCAGCCTTACCTGTTAGTCTAATGTGTCAATAACTCTTTTAATAAGAATAGAAAAAGGAAAACTACACGTTCACAATTATCTGTAGTCCCTGGTACTAAAGACCTAGGAGATGGTACTGAAGGTTTCATCTCTATTGTGACTTAAACACACACACAGATCTTTCTTCTCGCGAATTTTACTCAAAAGATGAATATATGATTTCAAGGCAACAGCCCGGATTTCAGCAAGGCCAGCATAGGAAATTGTCGCCTGCAGAACCACTTATCTTGCTTGATGACTATCATGGGGCAATTATGAGGTCATATTGTTAACATTCTCGGTGTTCTTGGGATGTATACCAATTCTTGTAATCTCTATGCGTTTTGAGTGTATTCCGATGATTGAACAGCCGCTGCTTATTCAAATGCCACTTTATGGATAGATAAAGGAGTTGATTGGGTAGATGTTGAAACCAAGATGATACCTAGGCCTGCTTAGAATATTATGGTTGGAAGATTCTCACAGTTAGCCTCGTACACAAATATTAGCTAGACTTTATTGCATAACATGTCCGACAAACTCAAGACAGATGTTACATTGACAAGTGTGTGACTGCATGTATATATTCTTGCCAGTGTAATGGATACACCGATTTACCATCATTGATATCAGGCATCACTAGTTGGTAGGCTATAAGAAAAGGATAATTATTTACTTTGATTCTATGAGCAAAGTCCAAAGGAACAATAAAGTGCTGCTCATTTGAGTTCGGAGATGGGAAGTTTGAACAAGGTGACAATTGGAGCAATTTACAGGGCCACCTGGTCAAGGAATTCATGTGTGAGTTTTTTCTTTACAATTAAGTGAAATTTTACAAGTCCATAATGAATTCTGTAAACTAAAACCATAAAGCATGAACTCTCCAGGAACCTCAAATTACCAGAAACGGTTTAAAGGGAACATAATTGTAATTAGTTCATTTTTAAGAATCTCAGAATCATTTAGAATTATCCTGGTAGTTAAGAGAAACACCAAAGTACTTTGATTTTGTTACAAATTTTTCATGAATATTATAGTGATATGTTTTGAACTTCAAAAAACTTTGTGGTGCATTTTTTTATGTCTAGGGATATATTTGATATTTTGGTTTCTAAGGTGGGTGTTCTCCTATACTGCCAAGATTGTTACTATATTGATATGTGAATTTGTACTACAAAATATAACTACTATTGCTATTATTTATTATAATCATTATTCTCTTTTAGATGGAATTTCCTTTTTCTGATTGTGGTGTTTTGTTTGGGGAGGGGGCCTAGGCACTTGCCTAGTCGCCGCTTGCACGAGGGGGAAAACTGCCCTCGAGGAAAGAGCGAATCCATAATTTGCTCCCTCAAGGGAGAAAAGGGTTGGGCAGGAGGGTATACTAGCCCACCCAAAGTTGCTTTGAGATTTTCTTCTGCCAATAATAATAATAATAATGAATAACTGGGATATGTAAAATTTTTGTGAGTTAAAAAAATCTGAAAGTTAAAGAAATGATCCCAAACCTCAACTTTTTTTTTATTGGACTGCTTGTGAACTATAAAGAGTGGTCCTAGGACAAATTTCTGGGTGATTTAGAGCTTGATATCCATCCAAAACATCGAGGATTAAAGATCAAGCAATAAAGGTTAGTAAAACATCTTTGTATTTCAGATTCCTTCATTCTTCCTATGAGTTCTAATATGAGTGAGTGCATACCATTGATTCAAAAAGCGTTCCACCCAGCGCCTAGGCGGCCGCCTAAGCGAGCTAGGGGGGCTTGGGCAGACCAACCAAGCGGGCTGTCCCTAGTCGCCTGCTTAGGGACCCTAGGTGCCCACCTAGTACCCCGCTTAGGCGGGCGCCCAAGGACAGTGGTCGCTTAGGGGCAAAAGTACCCATCAGGTGAAGTATTTTTGGTTTTTTTCTGTTTGAATTACAAAAATGCATGAATATACATTTTTTATACAAATCTGGACCTAAAACAGGATTTCTAGACACCCTTTACCCCTTTTGAACCTAAACTACCCAGATCCCTGGGTGCTTGCCTAGGTGCTGGGTGCTAGGCGCTTGCCTAGGCGCCGCCCAACATTTTTGAACACTAGTGCCCGAGATGGACTACGGTTTGCCCAAATTTAAAAATGATTAGAAAAAAATTCCATCAATTTTTTTCATAGAGATAAAAAAGTATGGGATGGCTAGATTTAAGAAACGCCTTGCCGGTATTGCGGGTGATTTTGCCCCATTTAAGAAATTTATGGGGCATGTTAGGAAGAAAATAGTTGACTATTTGGATGCTGAAAAGAAGAAATGGGTGAAAAAAGAGGCAAGTATGGCAGAGTTGAGGGCTGGGGTGAATATTTTTGGCGATAACGAGGAAGAATATAATGAAGGGGAAGCTAAGGGACGTTCCTCTCAAAGTGCTAAAAAAGGATTCAGATTTAATAGGCCTCATATGAAGGCAGGATAGATGCCTTTTTCGTCCCCAATCCTGAGCCTGCAGTAGAGAAAGCGAAAAAGCAAGTAACAACTGAAAATAGATTGAAGGAAAATTGAGCCAAAATAAATCAATTTATTGCTCAGTGGATTAATCCAGCGGGCATTTCTTTAGCGTTGTCTGATTAAACAACTTCCATATCATGGTGGAGGCAGTTGGCCAATTTGGGCCAGGGTTGAAGGGCCCAACCCCATAATAGCTTTAGGATCCATTATTGCAAAAGGAGGTAGCACTCACAAATGTCTACCTCAAGATCAATAGAACGAGTACGCACAATATGGGGCTCTCTAGTGAGAAATGCATGGAAAGATAAGAGTAGGAGCATGAAAAATTGATCGTGAATGGTCCTTTAGGGATAGTATATTTTTCGGTCTACTGATGCATCTGATGATATTCATGATGCATTGTTCATTTTTTCTTTGAATGAAGGAGGCATGATGAGGTTGAGGAGGAGCATGTCATTCAAGTTGTAACAGACAATGATGCAGCCCATCTGGTCGTTGCTAATTTGTTATGCCAAAAGTGGCTCATATCTTTTAGGCACCATGCAAGACGCTTAATAGATCTCATGATAAAGGTTATTAGCCAAATGGAGAGGGTATTGGGGAACTTGATAAGGCTAAGGCCATGATAGTGTTCATTTCTAGTCACACACTCTTACCCTAAGCAAGTGAACTAAGACGAGAGATCTAGTGTCGCCTAAGGTCATAAGATTTACCACCTCTTTTCTAAGGCTCTGTTTGATAGGCCCACAATATTAGGATATTTTAGAATATTGCAAAAACTTGAAGTTTCCTAATTTGATTTGTTCAAAGAGGTGTTTGATAACACCAAAATAGATTACATAATATTTGAATATCACCCAAAAACATAATCCCCAAAAAAACAGGTTTGACTTGAATGCTAGAAAATTAAAGAAAACGTTGACTTGGGGGTTAGCGTTTCTCCGTCAAATATTGGCGCAAGAGTGTTCCCTCTCTCTCACATCAAAAATTTAGCCTACCTCCTCTGGTGGAAAATTTAGCCTCCTCCTCTGGTGGAAGGTAGGACGCCCCCATGTTGACCCGGGAAGGTTCCCTCTCTCTCACATCAAAAATTTAACCTCTAGTGGAAGGTGGGACGCTCCCATGGTGGCAGTAGATGCTTTTATTCAACAGGATTCTTTCCCTCTATCTCTAAACCTTTTCCTCTCTGGTTTCTTGGTTTCAGTAAAATCTTTATTTCTAAAGTCTCTCTCTCTGTGCATATTTTCTTGTAGCATAAGTTTGATGGTTGAGATGAGGATGCGCAGAGTTTAATGGTTGTTGCTTTGGAATCCTGTTGAAGCCTTCTTGCCTTCTTTAAGGTAGGTTTCTCTCTCCCTGTAAAGGACATGTATAAGTAACTTAGGTTTGTTACTCTCCTTCTCTATATTCAAAAACTAAATATAACAAAAGTTTTGTTAAACACTTACCCCTCAATCTACTCCAATGCCTCAAAGATCATAAAACTGATGTCTCCAAGGCCTTAATATCTTGAATATATTGACATGCTTCAGGACACGTGTATACATGAATGATCTTGTAAGCCTTAACTGCAAGCTATTTGATTAACAGAATGATCTTGTAATCCTTACTATTGTTTACTACTTTGGATTTTATTTGAGTGAAAGAAAATCTTTGTGATAGCCTTAAAGTATATTTTCATCCACTTTATTGTCTGCTTGGATGCCCGTCCAAGCACCTGCCTTTGGCAAAAGGTAGACGCCTATTGATACAAATTGCCTGAGCATTATTGCAACTAGGAAAATTTCAATGGAGATGCAAGAGCATGAAAGTCTCTTCTCCCGTCTCTCACTCCTCCCCTCTCGCCTCCCATCTTCCTACCTGCTGGAACGCTATCTACAAGCTCTATTCTAGGACCTCACTGTCCTCCTCCCTTCCTTCTTCCCGTCCCTCTCCTAGGGCTTCTTTCTCCCAGGTTATAG